ATATGGCTTTGGGATATGCATATTAAACTTCAAGGAATTAGCAACATCCAACATGTGACAGTGTTTACGTTCGACAATCTCATTTTTTTTGAGATGAATGTGGACAGCTAGTCTGATGGATGATACCATGGTAAGCACAAAATGAATGCATAAATGATTGAATATATTCAAGAGCATAAAAAAGTGACAAATATCTTAGGTAACTCAGAACAATCCTTCATCATAAATAACCAAGTCATACCAAAGAAATCATCAACAAAGATCACAAAATACTGAAAATCACAAAAATACCTTTTTCTTGCTAGACCTCGAATGTCAAGTGAACAACATCAAAAGGACTCAACTCACAAGTTTCGTTACTACGAGGAAAAGAGCTACGGTGATACTTGCCCAATTGGCAAGCCTCATATTCTAACATAAAAGGAGGACTCAAATTAGGAATAACTTGACAAAGCTTGTGCAATGAACGGTGACCCAAACAAAAATGCCATTCAAGTAGAGATACGCGGGCAATCAATGCAGGTACTGAATCTTTGAAATCCAAATAATAAAGATCATTCTGCTCATGCCCCGAACCAATCACATTCTTCATCTGAAGATCTTGAAAAACACAAGATGATTGGGAAAATGTCATTGAACATTATAAAAACTTAGTCAACTAACTCACATATAATAAGTTATAAGAAAAATGAGGAACAAATAAACCAAATTTTAAGGGCATAAACTAAGTGGGGTGAGGATCACAAGTCCTATGCACTTATCGTAAAGAACCATCAAGCAAGACAATACGAAAGTTAGATGAGCAAAAATTAGAAAACAAAGAAAATATCAAACATATGAGCACTATCTCCTGAATCAATAACCCAATATGGTAAAGCTGATTAGGTTGCCACATATGAAAAATTATCAGCATTATTCAAACTAGTAGCTAAAGTAAACAACTGGAGAGAAAATGAGGAAAACTGCAGAATAAGTTGACTAACCTGAGAAGTAAGGGCGCACCATGGGACCTAGAGGCAAAACCAGTAGATACATTAGTAGGGATTGAGATACATGTAGAGCCAGGATCAAACTACCGTTTCGAAATACCGTTTCAGTTAGCTCAAAAATGAAAACGTTTCGGAAAAGCATAAAAAATATGAAAATATGTGAAAACACAAATACAATCCATTTATTTATAAAGATAAGCTTAATAATTGATTACTTTAGCACATTTATTGGGTTAATATCTATTTATACAAGATAACATCAAGTTTGAGGAACAAAAAAAGGCTTGACACAAGGCAAAATTAACTTAAATAATAATAAATAATATTATTTCATTAATATTAAAATCATTGTATAAACAATTTTTACACACTTAAATACTTAATTGTAGATATTTAACAAATAATATATAATTAATAAAATGACTTGCAATTATTTAATATACTAATTAAGCAAATAATAATAACATAAAAGAATAATTGCAAAAAGGGAAAAAAAATAATGAAAGGTATTAACTGAAATTAGTTATACATATGTATACTTAAAAAGTTATAATTTAGGATATTAAATGAAATTTGTCATACATATAAGCTAAAACAAAAACTAAAAAAAAACAAAATAAAAATATAAAATGTGAGTGACGAGTCAGTCTCAACTCTCAACAAGAAACAGAGCGAGGAGAACATACGATCGACAACTGACAATGCTGAAGAGAGAGAAAGAAGAAGAAAAAGAAGAATAGACTTGGCTCGTGGATCACAGCGATGAAAACTCAAGACCTAACAAAGAGGAGCTAAACCCTAGGTCTGCTACTTGGTTCGTGGGAGAGGATGGAGGCTAGATGTGCTCAAATATGGACTTAGGAATGTAAGCTACTAAACTCTTCTCCTTCAATTTTCATTGGATGTGTTCTATATGACTATATCTGTGTAATTCTCCCTCTCTTCGATTTCTTCTGGGTCAACTGTAAGATTCTACCTTTTTCTCCCTCTTCTATCTATGTTTTTTTACTTGGAGGACCTGGACCTATAGACATGTGGTTTCTAAGAAAATTTGAGTCTTCTCTATGTTTTTTCCCTTTGTTTTGGCTTGGAGGATCAGTGCACTCGTGAATTCTGAGTAGAATCTCAGATTTCTAAGTCTTTCCCCTTTTTTTGACTTGAAAGACTTTGTCCTAGAATGCAGTCGAATCAATCCACAATTTCGATGAAACGAAATTGTTTAAACCGAAACAGTCCGACACAGTGACATTTCGACTGAAACATTGAAACATGTTTTCATATCGATGTGTTAAAATTACGAAACGTTTCAGAAGTTTCGACACGACATTTCATTCCTTGTGTAGAACTAAGTCATCAAATGCCATATTGGAATAAGTTGGTCTCTCATGCTTGTCCCAACAATAATCCTTAGCATGTCCAGTGGCCCCACAACTAGAGCATGTCCACTCTCAGCGATTACCACGACCACCACTGCATCCACGACCAGTGCCTCTACCACCTCAGTTACCACCTTGGGTCAAATGGACTACCACTATGTCCACCCCTAGAAACATCATAACTACCATCGCTAGAGAGTAAGGCAAAAGAATTCTGTGGAGCTAAAAGAATGTCACGGGTAAGAGAAGCTCACTACTGACGAGAATAAGCATTACCAATGGTCAGAAATGTCTCAATAGCCGATATCTAATCTTTAAACTCACCATACTCGGACTAAAGACTTGACAAGAACAAAGCAACTTGAAATTCATCACGTTGTCGACGATGAACCTCTACATCTTTACACGGTGGCTAATAAGACATAAGTTCCTCCCACAATACTTTCAAAGTGTCATGTTCAACAAGGGATTTATTCCCTTACTTGGCAATAAACATGCGCTCAAAAAGTTCAAAAATCTGGGACACATTATGTTCTTGGGAGTAGATCTCCTTAAGAGAGTGGTATATCTTCTTAGTTGTATCAAGCAGTTGAACATTAGCAAGATAAAATGGGCCCCATACAAAACCACAACTAGGTCATAACCAATGAATTTTCACTCCACCAATTTTTAGAATTTTTAGAATTCTCGGGAAAATGACTTGATCACATAACTTTTCTTTTGGCACCTAGAAAAATTTTGATGGCATGGGACCAAGAGTAAAAGTTAGTACCATTCAATTTGACAGAAGTAAAATGTCGAACTTGATCATCCACTGAATGAACCTGTCTCATTCAATTTGACAGAAGTAAAGTGTCGAACTTGATCATCCGCTGAATAATCCTACCTAACTGGATCATCCAGTGAAGTATCCTTCACATCCTCTGAAGTCGTCAGAGTAACCTATAACCAACTAGACAGTAGTAGAGAAGTGAAAACAACCAAAGAATCCATAATCCTACCAAAACAATCACAAACAAAGCCAAAGAAACACCTCCAAATACACAATCCACGTCGGTAGAAAGCAACAAAACCACAATAGACTACCAATCACACTACAAGGCCCAAAGAGAGACCATAGAGGCCAAAAAATCCCAAATATGCCCTCTCAAACAATGCGGAACTATGACATGCAATGTTCATTGTCTTCTAAGTTTGGCCGAAGGTCTTCCACGCCCAGAAATCATGCTTAAACCATCCAAAAAGAACTAGACAACTCATAAAAATCCACCCAAGGCCAAATCGCACCCCCACAAGACTAGATCCAAGCAACAAATCAAGAGAAACAAATTTGAACCAACAGATCGAAGAAGAAAAAACAGTCAATTTCTTTGAAAATATTCAAAAATAAGAAACTTGATTCAAATGGCTTCAAAAAAATAAATATAAATCACCATGAATACCTCCAAAGAATTTTGGTCCAAGAGGTGGTTTTAGATAATCGAAATCTGCTGACATCAGCCCTCTAACAAAAATTTACCAATAATATTTTCTAAAGTTGTTTAGTCTCATATGATTGCTCTAATACAATGTTGAAACAGAAATGGTGATGCTAAGGTTCAGAGAAAGAGGCAAAGAGAAAGTAATCAGTTGTGTTGCCATACACCTCCGTATTCATAATAAGCTAATATTGTGGATAATTACAATATTACCCAACACTACCAATAATAAAAAAAAATAACTCTAACAAAGTCAAGAGTATCAGCATTCGAATTGTCTGCATAAGTCAATAGGTAGGACACTAATGTTTTGTGAGTGACTAGCTCTCAAATCACCCTAATAATTCAATAAACGAGAATGAGGTGTTATATTTCACCATCTAGCACATTCTAGAGAATCATTTTCACCAATTTCATTTAATTGTCTTGACCAAGACAGAACTACGATATTTGGAAACTCCTTGTGGCAAAGCACGTTCTAATCTAACAAAAACTCGACTCAACAAAGTAAAGTTTTTATTCTAACTAGTTGGGGTTGGCTACTTTCGAACCCAACTGACAAAACTGATTCCAAACAAATGAGGAATAATAAATAACTTACAATCACACAACTAACCCAGTTGGACCCCCAAATACGTTATTATTCTAAAGTACCCCTTATTTGTAAGTTGACTAAAATAATGCTGGTCTATAAAACTACAAAATTTACAACTCAGGATGAAGACCATGTGGGTCCATCCATAAATAGTCTTCATCAGAAAGACACGTATTGGGGATCATACAGGGGTGAACAAAACATGCAAGCCATTTATAGTAGTGGTAATAGCTTCAAAAGAAATGCTAGTATGTCTTGAAGAGAAAAGCAATCATAACTAGATCTCTTTTCATTCATTTTCCAAGCAAAGATCCTAAAACTACCGAGCTCCACAAATTCCCAGGCCTCAATTCCGACGAGTTCGAAGCTTGATATAATTCCTCAAGGTTTGCCTTGACTTCTTAATGTTCTCTGCCAGACTTCTAGCTCTTTGAAAATGGCATCATGGCTTTGTTTCAGCTAACCCGTCTTTAAAATTGACCAAAAGAATGAATCTTCAAACATTAAAGTACTATCAGTGCAGCCAGATCATCCTTCTAAATCTTTTCTTTTGCAGGAAGTTTTATGCACCTGTATTCTTTTCTTTCCTCTGGTATGGACAATAATGGTCAACTCTATCATCATCAGTTTCAGATATATCTTTTGCATGAGCAGCTCCATGCGCTAAATTCGGACATTGCTCTTCATCATCCAGTTTTAATTCAACATCAGTAATCAGCTTCAACTTGGGGCTGATCTTTATAATGTTCATCATCTCCCAGTTTTAGATCAGAATCAGATCCTACTTCCAGATATATGTGCACAAGTGTGGAACTTTGTTTGGACAGATTGAAGCATTATGACCATAACCACCAAATAGAGAATGCAATGAATTAATTTAACCAGTTTTCCACAAATAAAAAGTAAGAACATTTACCTTGTCAAGATCTTGGCAGCCATATCAGGATTTACCCTTCATCTCAGTCCATGATTCTATAGGTAGTTGATCATTCGCATAGTTCTTCAATTCTATATGACCACATACGTGCTGCCCCCATCTCTTGTGTCCTCACAAAACGAAATTTTGCATTGTCAGGTATTGAACAAGAATAAAGCTTATTTCCATGGGGGACACACATAGCAAGTACGGTCATTTGATTCGCATAGAAGTTATGATGTTCAGGGCACACACTCTTTGCGGGTGACTACATGTTCTAAAACTATGTGTCCTTCCTTGTACATACGATAATGGATACTGCCCATTGTATCTTGCTCCTGATCAAGTTTTGATTTTTCTTGAACCTTTTTAAGCAGCTCTGCCGCATAATGAAGCAGATCTCCTAGTCTTGCCTTCCTCTTCTTGTGAGTGCCTCTACATGGATTTCTGTCTGGTGGAAAATTCTTCTAACCAAACCATGTTGCAACATCATTGAATTGTTTCTGAAGTCCATGGTTCGTTCCATTCGGTCAGGGCAAGATCTTGCCGATACGCAACCAAAAATGATGACAGCTTCAACTGAAGGAATTAATGTTGTCCTCAGCACAAATATGGTATGCTAGGGATTAAATCTATAGGGTTTGTATGAATGTAGAGTCAGGGCTCAAAGAAAGAATTTGGGTTGTTTGGGCTTACATTTTGAATTTGATTTGAAGTAGAATTAGGAAAAACAGATTGCAGAATTTTTGGACAGGTACACAAATCGAGGGTTTGAGGGCTATGATGGCAGGATAGTTTAGGAATAGAGTTCCAGAATCTGAGTTTTAAGTTTTGAGTATAAAATGATGGATTGACTGACTATGGTTGATTATCCACAGGGACCACAGCAATGCTACAGCCGATAATAAAGCAGGGAAAGAAGAGGACAGAAGACGGAGAAAAACCTTAAAAGAGTCTCATGAAGGCTTCTAGGAGTCTCACGCTCACCTATGAAAGAAACTTAATGGACTATCGCCATTAAGAGAGCAGAGAGCACAATCTGCGGAGAAATTTTCATTAACTCCGTTGAATGATCTTAAAAAACCTGCTCATATAGAAGCAAAGCTAACACACATTTATCGATTCTATATTAGGTTAGAAAGTCCTTCGTCCACAAGGACTTTCCAAATTGGTTAGTTCCTAAACAAGCAAACAACTAACAAAAACTTAAAAGCCCAAAGCTAACCCTACTGAACATAATTCCTAGATACTACAAAATTCACGCAGACTTAAAAACTTCGACTCTTACAACTGAAAAAATTAAGAATAATGTTGGTCCATCCTAAAGCACTCATAATCATGTGACCCCTATTGTGGGAGCATCAGTCCATTAATAGGTCTTAAGCGGTAAGATCTCTTTTTCTTCCTTTCCAATCAAAGATTCTAAGCTCTTGATACTGGTTATCATGGACTCTACATCACAGGTTGAAGGCATCATAACAGAACTCCTCCCCAATTACTTCCTAACAAATTGTCTGATTTAAATACCATCAAAACATTCGACAGTCCTTCAACAATGATGACCATAATCAACCTGTGGTTAATATGAAAATCTTCAATTCAAAAAAAATTCAGTCAAAGTAGTGTAATGATTAATGAATCCCAAGGTGTCCCATGAATGTTTTGAAATCCTGCAGGCCTTGATTTGCAGCTGATCTCTATAAAATCTATATGGAATATCTCAGTTTCTAAGCCCAAAAAGCCAATTAACAGCGAAAATTTGAGTATCAATGCGCACAAGCAGAACAACTTTCCCCCATTTCTTTACCAACCCAAGATACAATCATCAATTAAGTAAGACGCGTGCACACCTGAGCAACAAATCTGAAAGCCTAAAAACTGAATTCAGTCACATGTATTTAAGAACGAAGCATGTATATTAAGATATGAGAATAGGCTGACAATGTAGGTGTTTCACAAATTTCTTTTCTATGGAGGTGGGGGTGGAGCCATTAATTTTCTGAAACATATGCAAATCCATGGCCTATCGAATAAAGTAAATGAAATATATTCCTAATAACCAAGGTCTTTCTTTTCTTTTTTACATTCTTTTTGGATGGGGGGAAGGAGCGCTGGAATCCAAGACACTTATTGTCTTTTCTAAAGTAAAGTGAGAAGATCCTGCATTAAAACATGGGCATACACGAATTACGAAGTCAATAACCTCGACACAGACACCAATAAAAAAAGGTTCTCAAAAAGGAAAGTAGTCATCTCCATCACACAATCAGCATTAAGAAAACCAACGATTTGGTTCCAAAATAAATGGAAAAGCGAGAATTTGAAATTACAGAATCTGCCAAACCTAGAGCAGCACATAAATGCTATGTGGCAGCAGACCAGTAAGGCTTGCATTAAAAAATTATTTCAAAGAATCACTAACTTGTAAAAAACAAAAGAAATTTAATAAAACGCTTGCATTTACCAAGTCTGGTTTCGAATTTGATCCCACTTTCTTTTCCTTAAACCATTTTTTTGCTTCCATGACGGCATTACTGCAGAGATCAGGAGCATCTGTGTATGAAATGTTTGTAACACCAACTGTCAAAAAAATAATCAGAAGCAAAGATATTTAGTGTTTGATAATGTCCTCAAAGTTTCTGGAAAATCATTACCTTTTCCAGCTGTTACACTACGCAACTCGCTTGGTCTTCTGCCCTGTCCCCCCTTCATGGTAGAACTATCTACAACTCGTGAATTAACAATCTTTATTAGCCTATCGCATTCTTCCCTGGTCAAAGTTTAAACCAATCCAGAACTTGAAAGGTTGGAATGTAGCTAAAAAATGTTGTGTAGCAGAACATCATCTTTGTTAAAGAAACAACAACAAAACAAAAGTGGTAATTGCCTGCTTTTCCATACGGTTATGACTAGCAAAGATGTAGCACATAACACAAGTTATCATGAATTCTAAACTTGCATTTCCTGCATTCTCTTTGGACTTCAGTGCTAAATGTAAAGGTCAAATGCTATCATTAGCAGGAACATAGGAACGGAGGCTAATTATAAAAAACTCTATTAAGTGTATACCCATAAATGATGATAATTCATAATTCATTCAAGAAAAAGGCCAGGTTTCGACAGAAACAACAAATAAATCAATGCAAGAGCATCCAAGTGCTTATGAATACTGGGGGGCTCACTGATCAAATTACTAGGCAGTTTTGTTTTATTCCAATTAGATTTATTTGGGTTTTATTTTGTTTAAGTCTCTAATAAGCAACTTGATGCAGCGAAAGACCTCATCTAACAGTAAACAAACAGAATCAAGGCAAACAGCAGATAATAAGTGATACTGAACACAGACAAAGCAATCAGGGTGAGAGCAAAATACAGATATTCTAGGGCCTGTAACAAATCAAAGAATGACTGAGAATCTGAATTTCTAGAAAAATTAAAAGAAACAATTAATTAATTGGTAATTGTGGTCACTAGAACTAAAATTGGTATACGTTTCCACAACATTTGTTAAAGACCTATTCACCACCACCCCTCTAGGTCGTGCTAGTGTAGTTCTACATGTATAATCGTGTTAGGGACAGATCAATTTCCCCCTCCCCACACTCGGATATACTGATTTCCACTAACAATCCTACATTCTTCACTTACACAAAAACCATATATGAATAATAAATGAAGATGTAGCTCAAACTTTAGCAGACCAAAATAACAAGTGAGCAAAAAAACAAGTGAGTCAATGGGGGAAAGGGGCAGGTAGAACGTAAGAAAAGGAGGAGCATCCAGTCAGCCACCAACAGATCGATTATGAATCATTAGAAATAGAACTTAAGTACATACTAGTCAAATTCTTAGGGAACTTTCAAACTAAGCCAGTAACTTATGATGGCATATCATAGTTCGGTACAGATACTAGGTGGGACAGCTAGGAGTATGCTATATACAACCGACGTTTCGGATCAGTGCCGGTTGTCTATTGAAGTCTGATGAAGTTTACAACATTATAACCGAAACTAGTATGAACTGTACCCGAAATTGACCACAAATGTAAATTAATTAGGTGGACATACAAGGAAGTTACAAATCATAACATCTCGAGTCTGGATTAAAAAAAAAACAGTTAAGACAGAAAGCTTATCACAGAGAGCCAAGATAACGAACCCAACAACATATTATCAAGATCTCAGCAATTAAATAGCAAACAACAACATATGGCCCACAACAATCAAATACAAATTCACATAGAAAATAAAGGAACTAGGGTTAAGTGAAGTACCTTGAAAAAGTTTCCTGCATAAGTAGCTCTTCAATAACTCGCTTAGTTTCACTCTTCCAGACAGTCAACTGAGGCTCCTTTCCAAAGAATTTGATCATTTCTGATGAAGTCCCATTCTTCTAATATTCAACAATAGAATGAAATCAGATATTTCCATAATGCTAAATGATAATTTAATTGTGTGATTTTAAGACCCAACACATGCACTACAGTACCCCATAGAAGTGTATAATTGTTCACTGGCTCAAAATGCAAATCTCAGTATATCAAGGTAGCAAACAGAGGTCTTGGTATGTTCACACCAATTGTTTCAAATATATTTCAATCAAAGGCACACTACCTGATATATTACGGCGTCCAAAAGATCTGAACTGGACTTATATATAGGTACTAGCTACACATACATCATTGTGCTAAGTCAAAACTGAACTGGAAAAGTGCGAGAAGAGTTCACATGCAAGGAGATCAAGAACTTGTCCTGTATACCCTTTTGTCATGCCTTATCCAATAAGGACCATATTTTTGAATTTTGAAAGGCAAGATAACCATTTGGTAGATACTAGAATGCAGAGATTCCAATTGTTTTTTTACTAGCAAACTAAGGAACCTGACTTGGTGCACATTAACGAAAAGAAGGCAGATTAAGAATCCCACAGGGACCAGGCATTCGACTGTGTAATTGTATTTGGGATAGAACTATGTCTTACATCAGGGGTCTTAGATTTTACAAGATACAGTGGTCAGTCGGCCTACATCGACTTTGGATTTTCCTCAGGAAATATTGTTGCCGCATATATCAATGCCATCCCCATTCGGGAAGCTACTTCATCACAATATGAGCGTTAGGTTTAAGACACAATAATATCAAGGTTACTAAAAAAGCTCATTCTCTTTTGGACATTCTAATTTGGCATCTTAACATTAACAAGTCCTTTTTCTTCTTCTTCTTCTTCTTCTTCTTTTTCCTCCTTTTTTTCTTTGTTCTCTTTTGGGATAACCACCTTTGACCAATAACTAGTAGAAACATGAACCTAAGTTAGCATATGCAAGGGGGTTTCCATCTTACAATTTTAAATCAAAATCAAGGGGGTGTTTAGATAGTGGGATAAAGGCGGTTAAAACATGTTGGATTGGACAAAATAAAGCTCGGCCCCATTTATCTCATGTTTGGGAAGCAAAAAACCGGCCCGCTCTAAACAGTGCATTGTAACCAGCTTACATGGGTTATCTCTAACCCATCTGGGAGGTCGGTTACCAATCCCACATATAGGATTTATCTGTCGAATGACTAATATACCCCTGCTTTACTAGTTAACCATAGCACTTCCTCTATTTGCAGCCGGTACTGCCAAACTCTTATCTCTCCCGTCAAAGTAATATGGCCAAATCTGTGTAGGACTCTCTTTGTCAACAACGCCAATGTGGCTTTCAACAATCGAGCTGTGTGGGGTTATATGAAGATGTAGGTCACGAAGATGCCATTGTTTGCAGATAGAGAGATGATGCTGAGAGAGAGAGCCAAATACGGAAAGTGAAGAGACTGGAGGAGGTAAGAAGAAGAAGAGAAAGGAAAGAACATGTTGAGACAATTGTGGGAGCAAGAAGCTTTTGCAAGTGCATAGAGATGGTGCAATTGCATTAATGGAGAAGGAAGTGTTATTGTTATACTTAGGATAGGGAGGGGGAGAGAGAGAGAGATGCTTGCTTAATTTTATCTATTTGCTACGTTAAATTTTTGGGATTTTAGTTCACTCTTTACTATTGCTTGGAACACTAAAAATTTTGTATGGAACACTATAAACATTTTGGAACGCACTGATTAAAATCATCAAAACAACAAGGATTTACAGAAACACTTTTGCAGCATAGAACTGAGAAAAAAAAAACTATGTGATGACCAAATAGATGAGGTTTTATATGAGATCTGTAACACCAACAAACCTTTGGTCCAATGGTATTCCTTGCCTTGTAAAGACTTTACCTTCTTGAGATCAAGGATTCAAATCTCCCCTCCCCTTGCCCTCCCCCAACAAAAAAAAATATATATATATGAGATCTATAGTCCAGGCCTAAAAAAAATGAGATATGTTGTAAGTTAATTAATCTAGCAATCAAGGAATATGGTTCAAAAATTGCTAATTCCTCAGATACCATTTATGAAAGTAGTGTGAAAATAAGATAAGAAAGATTATTTGGATACCACCAAGTACATCCAAGAGCATTGGGGAGAACCCAAATAGAGATTATTATGATTGGTTACACAATATCATAATTGGAGGTAATGAAGAAAATATGTTATGTTTTTCTGTAAAACAAACTATGAAGCAAATGTCAGCACAAGTGTTTAATTGTGAACCGCATAAAAAAAATTTTGACTTATAAAAACACCCTTGGATTAGTTGATTATTTATAAATATATGTACTATATACTTTTTCGGATGAAGGAAATAGTTATCAGTATTTCTTGGCCAACTTTGCTATTCAAATATTATATTTGTTTAGGGTTATAATGGTAAAATTCCATAAAAATAAGGTTTTCAAATCATTAATTATATGAGTTAATCCATGGGACTCGCACAATTGCAAATGAACTTGCCAAATAGAGGATTGGTTAGGAATGCACTTTAGTCCAAGCCAATCTCACCTACTATGTTTGATTGGGTTGGATAGGAAAGGATAAAAAATTCCAAACCTATCCTATCCAACCGGACATCTAAACACACCCCAAGAGTATTACACATAAAAATTAGGCACGTACCTTATTTAAGATTTCAATCCTTTGAGAAGGAATGTCATAATCATTGCCACCATCAACACTATCATCTGCAAAGTAGAGATAAGAATTCAGGTGTCAATTGAAAAAAAAAAAAAAAA